AATGACCATGCCTGTATCCTTGAACACATGGATTTCTGCCTCTGAAATGCTAGGATTAAAGGTGCTACCACTGTCTATCCTTTATGTTTAATATTGTGGCTACTCTGTCTCTGACCTCAGATAAGTTTATTAGCATGCACAATATTTTGGGGAATACAATACCATCATTCCTTTTTTTTAAGATTTATTTATTTATTTATTTATCTATTTATTTATTTATTTATTATGTAGACAGTGTTCTGCCTGCATGTATACCTGCAGCCAGAAGAGGGAACCAGATCTCATTACAGGTGGTTCTGAGCCACCATGTGGTTGCTGGGAATTGAACTCAGGACCTCTGTAAGAGCAGGCAGTTTTCTTAACCTCTGGAACATCTCTCCAGCCCCCCTCTTTCATTCTTTATAGGTAGATAACAGAAATTCTTGAACTGGTTTGAAACAGACTGTGGACACACAGTCATACCAAGCTTCCCTGAAATTCACTTCAACAAAGTAGAGGCATAGCCTGAATGTCACCCAACATTTCCATTTATTTTGAGGCCACTAATACGAATAAAGATGCATTATTTTTCTGACCACATCATTGAAAGCTTGTTTTACTTGCTTATTCCTTAGAGTGTAAATGAACGGGTTCAGTAAGGGGGCAACTGATGTATTGAGCACAGCCACACCCTTATTGAAGGCAACTCCTTCTGTTGCTGAAGGCTTTATATACATGAAGATGCAGCTTCCATAAGAGAGGGAGATGACAACCATGTGGGAGGAACATGTGGAAAAGGCCTTCTTCCTCTGCTGTGCAGAAGGGATCTTCAGAATGGTAATGATGATGCGAGTGTAGGAGAGAATCACCAGCACCAGGGTGACTATCAAGGTCACCACTGCTAAGAGAAAGTCAAAGTGTTCCAGCAGCCTTGTGTCTGAGCAAGCTATTTCTATGAGGGGCCCATAGTCACAGTAATAATGATTGAGCACATTGGATGCATAGAATTCCAGCTGACTGGTCAAGATGATTGGGAATAAGATGACTAGGAAGCCACTCAGCCAAGAGCAGAGGACCCGCAGGGTGAGCACCCTGTTGCTCATGATGGTGGTGTTGTTCAGGGGTTTGCAGATGGCCACATAGCGGTGATAGGACATGGCAGTCAGAAGGCAGAATTCAGTGGCTCCTAAAAAGATGGCAAAGAGAGGTCATGGGGGGAGAGGGAGAGGGAGAGGGAGAGGGAGAGG